TCCTCTATCATCTCATATCAATTCACCGTGTATTATACAGTGGACGTCTAGTAAAAATTTAATTAAAATTCATCTTATATTATAAAAGTTAAATAATAATTCACCCTGTATTGTAAAAATTCACCTTGTTCAATATTTTTTAATTTATAATAATTATAAATAATAATTTAATAAAAATCCAGCGTGTATTGTACCGTGGACGTCTAGTAATACATTATAAGGACTACTTCTTACTTTTAAAGCAAGAAAGCCACTATTAGAAGTTACAATAATTAGCAAGAAACTCACTACTATTAATTTTTTTTTTCTTTTTTAAAAGAAGAAGAAAAAAGAGGAAAAATCAGAGTTATTAACTCATTTATTACTTTTGGTGATGATAGGTATAAAGTGAAAACTGAAGACAAAAAAGAAAGAAGAGGCAAGAGTTTGGTGTTACTTTAATGCTCGAAATAAATTGACCAAAATAGCTAGACTTTAATGCGTTGGTCTGGGTATTTTTTAGAGTGTGTTTGTTTTACAGATAGAAAATATATTTTCAGAAATGTGATATAGGAATGATAATTATACCATGTTTGTTTTAAGTTTTTTAAAATTATTTTCAAATACTTTTTATTTTCATAAATTATTTTATATATGATTTTGTCACATTTATTCTCATGTCTAAAGAGTGGAAATCCAAGATTTTCATGTGGTGTTAAATTAGCAACGGATTTTACTAAAAATAGTAAACAAAAATTACGTTTTGAATTTTCAACTAATTTAGATTGTGATTCATTACAAATCAAGCTCCGACTAATGTGCCATCTTTGTAGTAGATTGACCTTGTAAGACATGATTATTTGGTTGTTAGGATTGACCCGGTTGTTAGTAATGATAGATAGAAAATCTCAAACTATTTTTTTGTCAAATCTACCCTAATTTAAGTAACTTAGTGAACATAGTTTTCATCCGCATGTATGATATCTATGATAATTTTATTTAAGAATCATTTGAATCTTAATTTCAAAAATGCTTATTTATGTTCTATAATATAATTCATGTGATACTCCGTCGAATCGAAAACAGTCGAATTAAAGTTAAAATATTTGAACTATTATATTTGATTAATGAATTGAATCATATTGCATAAACAATTTTAAAATAGAAAAAAATCAAAAATGAAAGTGAAACGGTCTAATTAAAATTGAAATTAAACAATGCTAGAAACAAATTTAAAAATTTTTATTAAAAAAATATAATGGTTTTATTCTTGAACAAATTATTTGGTTTTAGATAAATTGAATTAATTCGATTCAAAATCGTTACTATAGTTCGGCTCTATTTTCTGAATAAATTGTACAATAAAAAGTCTTAACTAAAGCCATTTCGCATGCTCATATTACTCCTTTAAATTTCTTTTATTTTTAAATTTCTTTTATTTTGGAAACTTGTGGAGGGAGGGGTTTATAGAGATACTTTTACTACCACTTTATAATGTTTTGATTAAAAATCGATGCATCAATAATGCTATGTATGCTGAACTTATTGGTGTAATGTTGGCTATTGAAACTTTGTACAAAAATGAATAAATTAACATGATTTTCAAGAACCATAATATTGTACATTAAAGTCTCAGAAGCCGATAGAAACATTATTTTGGTCTTTTGTCGAATAAAACATGTATTATGTCTCAAATCTATAAATCCACCGAGAAGAAAATCTATAAACCCTTTGATTTCGAATTCTAGTGGTTGACTAACATATACCTCTTCTTCCAACAGTCAATTTAAAAATATTTACTTTACATCTAATTAATGTATCTTCCATCCTTTGTATGATGCATCTGAAACAATAATTCTGATGGTTTTCAACCTTGCAACAGGTGCATAGACTTCATCGAAGTCAATACCAGGTTTTTGTAGAAAACCTCTTGCCATTATTCTTGCCACATGCTTATAAATTTCACCATTTTACCTTAGTTTTAACTCATATACCCACTTCATATCAATTGGCTTCTTAATTTATTTTTCCACAGCTCTCAGATATTTGTTCTTCTCAGTTTCCCTGAATTCTTCTTGCAAGGAAGTCAGTCAGTTTGAATCATTCATGGCTTGACCCAAATCAATCGGTTCTAATTCATCCATCATCATCACTTCTCCCGTGAGTCACCATCTACATCAATTTCTTGATCTCAAAATGTCTCATGTTCAGCTAGCCTTGTCGACTTAGTTCTCATTCTAGTAGATCTTTAACATTCTGCTTAAATGGTTATTTATTTTGAGTTGTTGTGGCTTCATTTTATTGGTATTTTTTAAGCACAGTTGTGACTGTATCTTGCTCATGTCGAACTGACCCCTAAGTCCGATTCCACCATTTTTTTCTTCCATCATAACTTCCTTATAGATTACTAATTTATCATCATTTGGTGAATACAATTTATATGCATTAGTCGAATGGTAACCTATTAGCACCATGGCCTTACTTTGATCATCTAACTTCTTCCTAAATTATTCAGATACATGCCTAAAATACATTGATCCAAATACTCTAAGATGACTACCATTTGACTCCAATCCTGTCCAAGCCTCATAAGACGTCATGTCGACTATCTTCTGGGTTGGACATCTATTAAGCATGTATACTATTGTCGAAACTACTTCTCCCTAAAATCTCTTTGGCATTTCTTTAGATTTTAACATACTTCTGGCTATATTCAATATACTTCTATTTTTCCTCTCATTTATACCATTATTGTGTGGTGTACAGGGTGTAATGACATCATGCTCTATACCTTCCTCATTGCAATATCTTGCCAATTCTATAAAGGTGTATCCACCTCCACCATCAGTTCTCAGTTTCTTTAACTTGAATTTACTTTATTTCTCGACATGAAATTTAAACTTCTTGAACCGTGTGAATATCTCACTTTTCCTTTCACTAAGATAAATCCATATATATCTGGTGAACTCATCTATGAAAGTTAAGAAATAGAAATTACATCCATTTGATCTTACGTCAAAATATCCACACACATTAGAGTGAATAAGCTCTAGCTTTTGTGTTGACTTCATAGACATGTCATGTTTGGATGCTTTCCTAGCATACTTTGCTTTGCATCACTCTTCACACACCTGACTTGATTCCTTCACTTGAGATAAGTTATACACCATCTTCTTCGGGTTGAGTATACCTAGATTTCTAAAGTTTATGTGTCCATACCTGTGGTGCCATAGCTAGTTTTTGCCTTCTGCAACAGTCGAAGCAAGAAATTTATGATCAACCATGTCGATCTCAATCTTGAAGGTTTTGTTATCAGTCAATGGTGATTTCAGGATCATCTTTCCTTCACAATTATATACCTTCATATGATTCTCTTCCAACTTCGTGTTATACTCTTTTGCAAGTAATTGATCTATGCTTATCAACTTACTTGTCATAGAAGGTATATATAATACATAAGTAATACTGGCCCTCTGACCATATCTTCTAACCACATATATGTTTCCTTTTCCATTTGATGTGACATACATTCCATCTGCAAACCTGATCACTTTTTAACCAATTCATCTAACTTGATGAACCAGATTTTATTATCAGTCGTGTGGTTATTGCATCCTGAATCCAGGTACCACATATTGATTTGTTTATTATTCGAATGAGTATTGGGCATGAGTAGCATATCATCAAAGTCACTTTCTCCAGCATGTGCATATTACACTTTTTCATTATCTTTTTCTCTTGATTCCTTCTTTCTTCGGCAATATTGTGCATAATAACCAAATCCTTGACAGTTGGATCACTACACCTCTTTCATGTCAATTTTCTTCTTCGAATACTTGTTGATCATGCCTTTCTTGATTGAATCAGTGTGATTATTTGAATTCTTGTTTAATTTATTCGTTAGTAGTAAGATTCTTTCTCTACTTTGCCTTTTCTTTTCCAAACTTCTCGGTGAATCTTGCTTGGAATGCTTATTATGCCACTTTCTACCCTTTTGAGTTCCTTTGCTTTAGTTTCATCTCATAAGGCTCTGATGAAACTTGAAGTTCTTCCACCTTCATCTCAGCTAGGTTTCTGGACTCTTCAATAAACACGACAATATAATCAAAACTTACAATCATAAATCTCAACACTTTTTCAATCTTCTACAAATCATTGATCAATTCACCATACACGCCTTCATCTAGTTGGTTAGCAACACCACACGCAATTTTTTTTTTTGAAACTGACTCATCTTCCTTCATTTGAGTCGTCTCAAATTGCTTTCTCAGCGTCTCCAACTTCACCCTCTTCAGTTTTTCATTTCCATTGTACAAGTTTTTCAATTTTTCCCACGCTTTCTTAGACGTTTCTTCTTCAATGATCTTCTCGAACACATTAGTGTCGAATACATGTTGTCATATATTCGAGTCTATTGAATACAATTAACTCTACTCAGCTAAATTTGACTCTGTAATTTACAACTACTTCGATTAAATCAAATACAACGCTATCAAATATATGTTTACCTACTAAAACAATGAATTGCTAGCTACAAGTCTTAAATTTTTATAGTTCATGGAATGTCATTCATAACAATGATATCTATGCTTTTACTAGAAATTGATTCGGTATTACTTAAATACATATTTTACTAACCATTATTATTTACACACTGCAGTCATTTTTTTTTCCTCCTGATTTTATCTCAATGGTAATGAATTTTATAGCAAACATTTTTTAATGAGACAACTGATGAAATGATGTCTCATGATCTTAATAACCGAACACGTATTGATGAATAACCGTTACACTTTTAGTATGACAAAAAAACTATCTTGTCCTTTGTATTCATTTTGTTTTCACTTTTTATTACACTCACATGAGTGACAAACCACAATCTCTCTCTCTCTCTCCACTTGCTAGCTATTCGTAACTCTCAATCTCATTCACACTACACTTATAAATTACTTACCTATCATCTCTTACAACAACACCATCACTCTCACCCCACCTCTCTTTACTCCTACCCCCCATCATCAATGGAAACAGTCTCGTTTTCCAAATGCCTCTTCACATTCTTCTTCCTTTTCATCTCAATCTCTCAACTCACTCACTCCACTGTTACCTATGACAGAAAATCCATTCTCATCAATGGACAAAGAAGAATCCTCTTCTCTGGTTCTATACATTATCCCAGAAGCACCCCTGATGTAACATATCATTATATTTCTTCTTCAATTCAAACCAATATATACATTTACAATACTGATTTTCTTTCATTTTCATCTCTAGATGTGGGAAGATCTGATCCTAAAGGCTAAACAAGGTGGTATTGATGTCATTGAAACTTATGTTTTCTGGAATGTTCATGAACCTTCTCCAAACAATGTACTATAATTCTTTGTTTCCTTTGTTATGTTATGTTTTTGTTTTTGTTTTCAACATGAGTTAGTTTCTTGTCTGATTTCATCTTATGTTTTTGCATGCAAATTTAGTACAATTTTGAAGGAAGATATGATCTGGTGAAATTCATAAAGACAATTCAGAAATCTGGACTCTATGCTAATCTTCGCATTGGACCTTATGTTTGTGCTGAATGGAATTTCGGGTACCTTCCATTTCTTATCTGGATTTTCTTGAGATTGTATTGTGAATTGGTTGTGATTATGTGTTGTTTTTGTTTGTAGAGGATTTCCGGTTTGGTTGAAGTATGTTCCAGGCATAAGCTTTAGAACAGACAATGAACCTTTCAAGGTTTTCAATTTTCACATACATAATTATTATATGTTATGAACTTTTTTTTGTTAGATTATGAATATGATATGACCTACAAATTGTGTTGCAGAGGGAGATGCAAAGGTTCACCGAGAAGATTGTCGGATTGATGAAGAGCGAGCAGCTATTTGAATCACAGGGTGGCCCTATCATTCTCTCTCAGGTGAATTTTTTGGCTAAAAACTTGTCGAGTCTGGATCCTCGATAACAGGCTTTATGGTGCAACTGGTCTACGGCCGGTTGCACCATAAAGTCAGTTGCAGAGGATTCAATTTGAAATTGTCGATATAGATCTGATGATAATGATGATGTTTTCATAATTTCTTGTTTCAGATTGAGAATGAGTATGGGCCACAGGGTAAGATACAGGGAGCTGCTGGGCAAAATTATATGAATTGGGCAGCAAAAATGGCTGTAGAGATGGGAACTGGAGTCCCTTGGTTGATGTGTAAGGAAGATGATGCACCAGATCCAGTGGTGAGTATATGAATCTCAGTCTTCATCTTGAAAATTGTGTAATAAATTGAAATTAAACTCATTCCTTTGATACCACTTGGTTATTATTCTATTATTTCAATGCATTTATGTAGGTTTTTATTGTGTTGGCGAGTTGTGATCGGTTGTAACTAATTAATGTGTGCGTCGTGCTAAACGAATATGTTATGTTTATGTGGTAACAGATCAACACATGTAATGGCTTTTATTGCGACAAGTTTACTCCGAATAGACCCTATAAGCCTACAATGTGGACTGAAGCTTGGAGTGGATGGTAAGCTATTTCGTTATCACGACATGACAGTAAAAATTGGAAGAAAAAAAATGAAATGAATATCCTGCATAACTTTTTATCTGTTAAATATGTAGGTTTACAGAATTTGGAGGTCCAATTCATAAAAGACCGGTCCAAGATTTGGCGTTTGCGGTTGCGCGATTTGTAACTAGAGGAGGGTCATTTGTAAACTACTACATGGTTGGTTATAGCCTGTTTAAAATTGACTTCAAAAAAATGCTTGCTCATATTATTATAAGTGTAACTTGCCAAATTTTTCATGTGTTTACTTGTAGTATCATGGAGGAACCAATTTTGGACGAACCGCAGGAGGCCCTTTCGTCGCTACTAGTTATGACTATGATGCTCCACTAGATGAATATGGTGAGAATTCAATATCGAAACTGTATCTCAAACGATATTATGGATGATTAACTTAATAACTTTGTATTCTGTTCTTAAACAATGCAGGTTTGATTAGGCAGCCAAAATATGGTCATCTTAGGGAGCTTCATAGAGCTATCAAGATGTGCGAGCGAGCTTTGGTTTCAACCGATCCAATCGTTACTTCATTAGGGAGCTCCCAACAGGTTTTAACTCAATTCAAAGCTATTTTGCTATCTTCTTGTGTTTAGCTTATTTACCATCCTATTATAACATGTGTAACTTTTCCAGGCTCATGTATACTCTACGGAATCTGGAGATTGTTCTGCTTTTCTCTCAAACTACGATTCAAAATCCGCAGCTACAGTTATGTTCAATAATATGCATTATAACTTACCCCCTTGGTCCGTCAGCATCCTCCCGGATTGTAGAAATGCCGTCTTTAATACAGCAAAAGTACGTAAAATGTCCGATACAATTTCTTCACCTTTGAAGCGACCATTCAACATTGTTTTTAATAATTTAAACTCCTTATTTCAGGTCGGAGTGCAAACATCTCAAATGCAAATGTTACCGACAAATACTCAGATGTTCTCGTGGCAGAGTTTTGATGAAGATGTTTCTTCTCTGGATGATAGCTCCACACTCACTGCACCCGGTCTTTTGGAACAAATAAACGTAACGCGAGATGCAACTGATTATCTTTGGTATACAACTAGGTAAGCCTGAATATCTATACTATATATACCGTTGGAATTCTTTAACCTTATAACTCATTACAAGGTTTTGAAAATCATTTCATGTCTATGTTTCTTCAGTGTTGATATAGGTTCATCCGAATCCTTTCTACATGGAGGCGAACTCCCGACTCTCATTGTTCAGTCCACAGGCCATGCTGTTCATGTTTTCATCAACGGTCAACTTTTCAGTACGTAAATATTTACTTGCATTCGGTTTAGTACCTATTTCTAGCTGATTACTAAAAGTTAACATATACATGATTAAAACTAGGTTCTACATATGGAACAAGGGAGTATCGAAGATTCATGCATATCGGCAAAGTAAACTTTCGTGCTGGAACAAACAGAATAGCTCTTCTCAGTGTTGCAATCGGCCTTCCTGTAAGTTTTACTAAAATTGATCAAAATTTACATAGTAACGCCTTGATTCTCTGTCTGCTTATGAGTCTTGATTACAGTTATTGACTAAATGTTGTTCTATTTTTGTTGTCAAAGAATGTGGGAGTACATTTTGAGTCATGGAGCACAGGAATCCTAGGTCCGGTCGTAATCCACGGACTCGACCAAGGAAAATGGGACTTGTCGCATCAGAAATGGACTTATCAGGTTGCATATTATTGCATTAGATACTTAAGTTACACAGACTTCAAAGAAGAAATTCTTACTGCAAAAATGGTTATAAACAGGTTGGACTGAAAGGTGAGGCCATGAATCTTGCATCTCCTAATAGTATCTCGTCTGTCGAGTGGATGCAATCAGCAATAGTTGTACAAAGAAATCAACCATTGACATGGCACAAGGTAAAAATTAAAGAATAAAAATGCGCTCAAGTTTGACGGAAACAAAATATTAGTGTAAAAAACAGATGAAGTTTATCGGTATATTGTGCAGACTAATTTCGATATACCTGAAGGAGATGAGCCACTAGCATTGGATATGGAGGGTATGGGTAAAGGTCAAATATGGATTAATGGTGAGAGTATTGGAAGATACTGGACTTCATTTGCTGTCGGTAATTGCAATAATGAGTGTAACTATGCCGGACAGTTTAGACCTCAAAAGTGTCAGGTCGGTTGCGGCCAACCGACCCAACGATGGTAAGTATCACTATTCGCTAGCTTTGTAGCTTCTGTAATCGCTACCAAAATAGGATTCAAATTCTCAGCAGATACGCGGTTAGTAAGCTAGTAATGTCTAATACATTGTATTACATTTCGTGTAAAATGTTTCAGGTACCATGTTCCTCGATCATGGTTGAAGCCGACTCAAAACCTATTGGTTATTTTCGAGGAACTCGGTGGAGATCCTTCAAAGATTTCACTTGTAAAGAGATCAGTAAGCAGTGTCTGCGCCGATGTGTTAGAGTTCCACCCATTTATTAAAAATTGGCGCATTGAAAGCTACGGTAAGTCCGGAGAATTCCGCCCACCAAAGGTTCACTTGCAATGTAGTCCTGGCCAGACCATCACTTCCATTAAATTTGCAAGCTTCGGAACTCCTCTCGGGTCTTGCGGAAATTACAAGCAAGGAGCTTGCCATTCTCCTTCATCCTATGCCATTTTATCAAAGGTATGCACTTTACCATACTCTTGAAATGATTTCACAATCCACTACATTGATTTCTAGCAAGTGACCATTTGAGTTATTCTCATGGTTAACTAGTTTCTCTGTTGAATATTGTTCGCAGAGATGCGTAGGGAAGCCAAGATGCATAGTTACCGTATCAAACAGCAATTTCGGGCAAGACCCGTGTCCGAGGGTGATGAAGCGGTTATCAGTTGAAGCTGTTTGTGCTCCCGATACCACAAATTGGAGGGGCTAATCATTTAATTAGTTAAGAAAGCGTGGTTTTACATGTAGAGTGCAGTTACTTAAGCCGCAAGAAAAAGGAATGCATAATAAAAAGAGTTATCATAGGTAAAGTTAGTTAAAGGTAGTTGAGTAATGAGTGTTATTGTAGTGTGAAGGAGTTGTGTAAATTATTGATAGGTAGTTTAGGTAGGTGAACATGAAAGCAAGGATCTGAATGAAATTTGGACCCTTAAGTATGAATTCAGATGACCGGTCCCCGGCCTTTTAACTGGATATGAGCACCGGGAAAGAAGCAGTCGCTGTCGCAGTCAAGTTGGTGTCAATTGTGGTTTTGTTTGAGTTAATGAGGTGAGTTTAGTCATGGTGCAAAACATGTTCAAGTTAGGAGTGGTTCCTAATTGTAACAATTGTTTGATGAGATTTATTGTCATAGAATACAAGGTTCATTGTTCTGTTTAATAAGTGCAAAACATGAGAATGTGGACTTTGAAATTAAAATCAATAACTTTTTAATGCATTTATGATCAAATAAATTGACCTAGAGTTGGTTTTAAATAAATTTTTGGTGTTAAAAATAAATTCTATTTGTCCCAACCACATGACTGTCACTTGTGGAAAATACAACTTATTGTGTTTGCAAAAGCGATGAGTGACTTTTGCCCAATACCAAACATAGGCTTAATGTCACGCGACACCATCATCACAGATGACTATGTTTCCAAGACCACATGACCCTTTGTCATTTCACTTTTATTGACATAGATAGGATAACACCAATCTTGGAGTTTTGGGAGGAGCATTAACTAGGGAGTTTTGGGAGGAACATTAACTAGGGACTAATGTTCTAAGAATATAAGAGTAACGTCACATATGTTGTAAGTGAGTAACTTGCAACACAAGTTAATTGTCACTTGTTTCAATGGAGTGTCGTTAAGAATAAATCAAAACTATGAGTTTTTTGAACAAACACAAGAAACTCTATTAAATTTTCATAAAAGAGAGAGAAGAGAGAAGAAGAAGAAGAAAATTAAGATTGGTTGTAACTGTTTGTCTATTCATTTTCTATTAGAGTTTATAGATTACAAGTGAATAACAACAATTAATCTCTCTCAACAACCTGGAATAACTAGTCTATTTATAGACTACTAAACTAACTTAGGCTAAAACTTAACTTAAACAATTGAGCTTAAACACAGACCCAATTCGACATGCTAACAAATCTAGCATTATCGACTACTGCATGCTAGAATACAATTCGACTACAGCCTACACGACTTCGATATCAATATGTGAACAAACTTTGACAACATGCTCAATCTCTGCCGAACCAATAAACCAATCCCTGTCGAGATACTAGTTTTCTTCATGCAACTTTATCAACTGTATACAGTGGAAGAACTTGCGACTTGGAAATGTCTTGGTGATCATATCAATGATATTGTGATCTGTCGAAATCTTCAGCACTTGGACTTCTCCACGCCCGACTATTTCCCTAACAAAATGCAGCATAATATTGACGTGCTTGGTTCGCTCATGATAGGCTAAATTCTTCGACAGATATATGAAACTTTGACTATCACATTCAACATTAATAACTCAACCTTAAAGTTCCATCTCCTTAGCTAAACCTTCAAGCCACAGTGCTTCTTTCACAACTTCAGTGAGGGAAATATATCCTGCTTCAGTGGTTGATAAGACAACAACCTTCTGAAGTGTCACTTTCTAACTGATTATTGTTCCAAATATAGTGAACATATATCCAAAAATAGATTTTCAAGAATCAATACAACTCGCATAATCAAAGTCGACATATCCTTCAAGTTATGCTTTACTATCATTATCACAAGTGTAACACCCCAATTCTACCCCTCGTAATTAATAATAAAATCAGAGTTTCAAAATTTCATCCAAACATAAATTGAGGTATCACATATTCGTGTTTTTCATCACTTTGCATTATAATGCACATCACAAAATCAAAAGTCGGATATACCGATTCATAACATAAATCATCATATAAACATATGATTAATCACAACACAGCAGATGTGTTCACAAAATGTACGTATCATCATGTTATCATCAATACATAAGGTCATAAGATAATATACATAAACTATCCTATCAAAATAATAACGTCGCCCAAATCCCGAGTGTTACTACTATCAGAGAAGAGCGACTCAAAATAAAGAGACTCGAGCTAATCCTCATCATCCTCGCGGATCACCTGCACGTTACCAATATAAAGGCAACGGCGAAACAAGTAAAGGGTGAGATACTCCAAAACATATAATTAAAGGCATGATAAAATATATAAATAGTTTTGGAATCATAAATGATATAGGTTAATAAGAATATGTCAACAAATATCAAATCTCACATACTTTAAAATCATCATTTAGTGTATAAGATCAACACTTTAATATCATCACATAATCACCATAATCATGTCAAAACAAGACATAAACTCCATCGCCATAAACTCATATCGTCGCTTTACCGTCATGTTATATCCATCGCATAATTTCCATGAAATTATCATATCATAATCACTTTATGTTCAACACAAAAATCATCACAAAACAAAGTATCATATAACATCACAATTCATTATAAGCCATCAACTAAAACTCAACGCCAAAAGACTCAAAAATAAACATAACCGACTCCATGAGACAAGACTATGTTATGCATGTGGTACCCGTCACTTTGTCCATAATTAGGGACACTCGGCATAAAAGTCCCTCGTCGCTTTGGCATAAAAGCCCTCGTCGCCAATGTAATGTATGTGACTCGACAACACGACATCATAAACACGACACAACAAAACATCATCATCGCGCATCAAAATTGGTATAAAATCCACGTCACTGTATTTATCCATATGAAGATAAACATATCATCGCATCACATATCATTAAGTATTCATTATAAATAAACTGTCGCAAACATCATGTTTAATCACACCACATCATTATCAAATAATTCACTAAATTTCAAACACGGAAAAATAGTCAAACATCAATAATCATCGCGAAAGTCATTCATAATAATCAGCATCAATTATAAACATTAACGTCGCAATCGGATTATCCATACGCGACTTAAACCGACTAAAATGCAACCCGATTCAACTTAACCGTAAATTGAATTATTTCGGGTCGCTCTGTTAAAAACTCGTAATCTCGAAAAACTAACATCACCACGACGTTCTACACGTCAAAATTAGCTAGCACATCAATTTTTGTTAAATTCGGAGCAACTTGCTCCATCGCCGAAATTGCCGAAATCGGGAAATCGGAACATAATTGGGTTCCAAATTAAATCGGCTAAATTATGTCATATTTGTATTTAATTAATATAAATATTTAATATATTAAATTAAAAAAAGAAAAGAAAAACATAAATTAATTAATTTCTAAACTTAATTTTCCATACTGTAAGTTTAGTTTTCTAAACATACTGCTATTACGTTTTGTTTTGCTAAACTGTACTGCTATTTCGTTTTCTTTTTGTTTTGCTAAACTATACTGCTATTTTTATTAGTTTGCAAGCTATACTGCTAGTTTATCATAAACTTCATTGCATACTGCTAGCTTATTAGTTTGCAAGCTATACTGCTAGTTTATCATAAACTTCATTGCATACTGCTAGCTTATTAGTTTGCAAGCTATACTGTTAGTTTATCATTTTAGTTTCAAAACTTCATTTAAATGCATATGCTACTAGTTCTTCTAGTTTCTAAACTTCATTTAAATTATGCATATGCTACTAGTTCTTCTAGTTTCTAAACTTCATTTAAATTATGCATATTACTAATACTTAATATAATGCTAGTTCTTGTTTCTAAACTTCATTTCAATGAAGTTACTGTTAGTTTAGTTTCTAAACTTAATATAATGCTAGTTTAGTTTCTAAACGCAATATAATGCTAATTCTTGTTTCATTCTTTTTTCAATTAACCTAATACTAATTCAACAACAACAACACCTAATTAACTCTTCTAATTTCTATCTCAACAAAACTCAAGAACCCTAACATCAATTTTCCCCCAAATCCAAAATATATCAAATGAAACCCTAACTATAAGCATTGGAAAATCAACCCCTTACCTTAAATGCTTGAAATGATTCTTGATGATTCAACCAATCCAAAACCCAAGTTTTGTGTTCTTGTTCTTCTCTTCCTCCAAGACTCTCTCTAGTTCTCTCTAAGTGTGCTTTGTGTTATGATACTTCTATCTCTCATAAAACAACAACTGATGCCTTTGTTTGGATTTTGGTCTTAAGACAACATGAAAATACCATACTACCCTCCACTAGTCTTACTAACCCAAAATATGATTCAAAAAGCCACTTAATCAAAATAACTCCAAATAATTAAATATCGGTCCGAATAATATTTTACCGAACCGAACGGAATAAAAACCGGACCGAATAAAATAATTACCGGTCCCCCAAAATAAATATCGGACCAAATAAAATAATTACCGGTCCCTCAAAACAAATACCGGACCGAATAAAATAATTACCGATCCCTCAAAACAAATACCGGACCGAATAAAATAATTACCGGTCCCTCAAAATAAATACCGGACCGAATAAAATAATTATCGGTCTGAATAAAATGTCGCCGAATATATTAACAAATATATCGGTTAATATAAATATTCTCGTTGCAAAAGTAAACGTCAAATGGTAACTCAAAAATATTAATATAATATAATAATAAATAAAACGGGGCGTTGCAACAAGCTCCACCATAAATCAGTACTTTGCTCTGAGACCCATTTATGTACCTCATAACCCACTTCAATGCTTGATAGTGTACCTTTCCAAGATTGGTCATATAGCTGATAACAAGTGTTGTACCCCAAAATTTGCCCTCCCATTTCCCAATGATTTCTCATCACAAAACCTTTGAAGCCCAAGATCCAGTTAGGGTTTCACCTGCTCAAGACCTCTCCTTGCACTGCTGACCCAAATTAGGGTTTGTGTTTGCACAAAGATG